CGGGAATTATAGAGGAGTGGACGGGAAAGGATGGAGGGCGGGGAGATATTCGTGTGGTTCGTGATGAGAAGTTTGAAGCGATGTGATGTCCCCTCGGGTTAGGGGGTGTCCAGTGTACTGGTTTCATAGTTTGTTGTTGTCTCTTGTCTTGCGTATCTGACGGTCTTTGAAGAGGGAGAAGAGAGACGAAGGTTGAAAATAACGTCAGATTCATTGGTTTGGTGGAGCTCCACTGATTTTACTGCATTATTCTCACCTATTATTAACGCGCCACAAATTTCATTACCTCTAGCAGATAATCCAATGGATTTTATTCTATTTTAAAGATGAGTCTGTCAAATAGGTTCTATAATCAGTAGTAGAAAGCTCGTATTTGCAGACGTGATTGTGTTCAAATTGGGTTTGGGTTCTGATAATAATTATTAATGGTCTCAATTTTTTTTTAAATCCGTCTGTGCTTCGTCTGAATGTTTAACAATGCAAAATATGGAATCTCAAAAACCTGTGCATCATTCATACAGCTAATTACTGAATTTATTATTGAAAAAGATTATTATGTAATAGAATTTATTTATGTCGTGCCTTTTGGTTTTCGTTATGGCCTTCACGACGTAGATTACTCCGGTTTAGTTTCTTTCAACACATCTGTCGGGCTTAATTAGTTTTACGTAATAACAGATCCTGTTGAGTAAATTTTTCAGGTGTTCGTCATGTCCAAAACGCTTTTGATTATCATTTGCGGAAATGGCTCTTGAAATGCAACAGGCGTTTAGATCATTGTTGGGGTTCGAATGACGGTCTGTGTTCCAGTAGACATAGACTTCATTTTATTCTTTGAGCATTCGATACTATTTACGGATTTAAAGAAAAGCAATTTTCCTTTTATATTTTTGTTTCTGCGAGTGTGTTGAATTGTTTAGGAAACTTGGTCGTCATATAAAACCATGTTGAAAAATGTAGGCCTGCAATCTCGCGTACAAATTTGAAAATTTGTAATCAGGAAGAGATCTGGGAAAGATCAAAACTCCGAAAAGTGTCCAGGGTTCGAATTCCGATTGGGAGATTGCATGAACGAACACCACAACTTCGAAGAATTGTTCTGGGTTCGGATCCCGGTTACGTAAGTGTGGTGGAAGAATTTCGACAGAACCACAATTGTTTCTTTCGGCGAGAAGAACAAAGAAACAAAGGTAAGAAACCGTGACACTGCCTTGGCTTCGAGTCCCGGTGAAAATATTTTCTGTACCTTAGAAACTAATAACTGTAGAAAAACAGGGATTACGGGAAAAAAAGTTACATCCCCGATGAAGTGTCCAGGGTTATCCAGCATGTTGAAACCTAATTGGGGGTAGACAACTGAAGATTTATAGTTCTGATACTAGAACCCCTGTTTTTGTGGAGGAGGTTGCCCCCAGAATTAAGTAATGGTACAAGACTACAGGTTAAACATGTAACGAATATGAATTTTAGCAGAATTTGCGAATGAAGAAGTGTATTTATTCTCAGAATACCGTCTGATTACCCATTTGACTTTAAACAAGGCATTGGTTTAAGAAAGGAATATTTTTTCACGTGGACAGTGCGACCTGCCTAGAAATTGGTTCTGCAAGAGGTGTACATAGGCTGTACCGGCGCCCACAGGAGAAATCTCGCCAAATACTGTCTCTAAAGAAGCTCTGTGTTGAATTGTCTTCATATGAACGAAGGAAAAGGCTGTCTTCAGAAAATGAGGAAGCTTTATTGCACTTGCATACTTTTAATGTTTTCTTTTCTTTTCTCCTGCCTTCATAGATCCTGTAGTTACGTTCTTACATGTAACTACCTCGTGAATATTTACTTAAACTGCTTTCTTTTTTCAGTGTGCCGCAGAACAATTGGCATACGTTTCAGATTTGGACAAATTTATAGCACATCCAACCCGAGGAGTAAGAATGGGTCTGGCTGCTATTTATAATTACATAGGAGGAATGGATAAATCGTGCCGGGTATCGTTTAAACTGTTCTTGTGTTTTGGGATAACATTTGTTTCCTAGACATCCCTGAAGAGGGGAATTTTAGAAATTTGCAGTCCTTGACGGAATTCTACTGTACCGAGTTTCGCACGTACGTGTTCAATTTACCGGCCAATGGCGTGTTATCTCTGAAGGCGGAGGTCACGTGTTCATGTGTCATAATTTATACTTATATTGATCGGGTATCTACCAATCTTCTTGTCGCTGTTATGATCGTTTCTCCGACAGAACTAAATATTGCATGAAAACCCGCAACTGATCGTCTTGATATGCATAGGATAGT